CGCGCACGGCGCGCACGTCCTCGTACTCGCCCAGCGCGCCCGTGGGCGCCAGCACGAGGCGGGCGCCCGACACGCGCGCGCAGTGCAGCAGCGCGGGCGCGCGGTCCAGCTCGGCGTCCAGTTGGCGCGCGGCTGCCACGAAGTCCTCCAGCGCCTGCGGCGGCACCAGGCCGGGCGCCGTCACCAGCACGAGCGCGTCGTAGTGCGCGCTGTTGACCTCGCCCACGGCCGCCACGCGCACGCCGTGCACCTCGCGCTCCACGCCCATCTCGCTGTCTTGCTAGTTCGACATACGATTTGTACTGCCTTATTGTCGGGCAGATACTTAAATACAATATTTGTAAGGAAAGCGACGTCGAACCGTTTACGACTAGTGTGAACTCGGCAAAGAGGTGCTTAGCCTCAAATTTTTTAAGCAGCAATAGATATTTAGCTTCTTTATTCTTTCTCTGGGTGTAATAATATTGCCTGCACGGTCTGTCTTTCAGTATTTCGCTGTTCCATTTACTCAGAATATATGTATTTATAATATTGTAATTCATTCGAAATACTACTTAAACGGGAGGATCGTAATTGGCTCATTGTAGTAGGGATATAGGTAGATAGGGTGTATAGTAGGGATAGGTATAGTAGGGATACACCCTATCTACCTATATCCCTACTACAATGAGCCAATTACGATCCTCCCACGATGCTGAATTTGGATTTACTCGAGCGTCGTTAGAACCTACTGGATTTTGAAGATATGCTGATAGAAAGAAAAAAATAGGTTAGTGTCAATTTCTTCCACCTTGGAGGAAGGGGGAATCCACGATCTTTGAAATTGTTACGCGTAATTTTTGTTCTAGTGGTCGAGCGTGTCAGATATTGATAATGTACATGCTCTACGTGTCTTTGATAATGAAAATCTCTTAATCTGCCAGTTTGCATGGTGGGGTTGAATGTTCTGGATACAAACGAGAACCCTTCAAAATCCCCCCACTCATGCAAATCAAGCTCGAATGGCCGGATTTTTTAAACGCAATTCCTTTAACATGCTGTTGACTTCTCTTCCCTTAACTCGTCGAGTACCGGTTTTGTAGACACAATTATAGAACAATAGGTTGCGGTCACCGGTGACCGCTTGGTGTTTGACAGTTTAATCTGACGAAACTGACTTTATTTAGTCAGATATTTTTTTATTTTTTAGTCCCCCCTTCTAATCGAATCTGATATATGGTGGGAATATTTAAAATGATACTAGATTTTCCTCATATGTTGGTAATGAAAAAGGTTTTCTTAATTTTTGAACTGAACTATTGTATTGATTGTCAAATAGTCTTTGGTTTTTATAAACGTCAATTATATAAGAATTTTGTGGTAAAGAATATAAGGAAGTATAAATATATGTCGCTTCTTAATTTTAAAAAGCAACACATTCGTTTTATTTCATTCTAAATCATAAGATTTAGTCTTATATGTTAATCTGCCGCGCTCGAGTAACTAACGAAATCCCTACATGGGCTCCCCGATTATTGATACCTACGACTATTGTAATTTTTATACGTTTTTATAGGCTGTACCTAAGTCCTCCTAGATGTATAAATAAATACATTTTATTTATTATATAAATAAGCACTTCTCTGCCGGTATAAAAGACACAATAGAAAACACATTGTGTCTCGCATAGATTGCGATAGCATTGGTTATGAATATAACGGATACGGATATAGATATAGATCTCTAATTTTGTAACTGAACCAGGACAAATTGAGATATTTTATTTAGCCGATGGGCGTGTAGTGTGGCTATATGTTTAACTCTTTGAGTACCGTCATTATAGACACGAAGAACAATAGGTAGTTTAAGGAGGAGGCGGGATGCGTGGCGGAGCGAAGCGCTGCCTCCTCGCAACAGTCGCAACCCAGCCATCGCGAAGGACACTCCGGGCGTCGGGGATCGCGAGACGATTTCCAGCCACCGTAAGCGCGGGCTTGCGGACGGCGACCATGGGTGGCTCCCCGTCCAACCAGAAACAGACCCGAACGTACGGCGCGTCGCGTTCAAAGAGCCATCAGACCACCACAGATGGGGCCCAACAGGGCCGATGCCGATTCGGAGTCGCGGAGAACCTAACGGGTTACCGAGGCTTCGGCTCGAAGCGCAGGATAAGGAACAGGGTGGTTTTTAGTCAGTAAGAGTCTGATACTCCCTCCCGCCTCACCCAGGTGGGAGCAGATATCCGATGATTTTCCCCCCTTAAAAAAAAAGTGTGGCTGTATATGTATTGATCGTGTGTATTGATTAGCCTTTATATAACTAAGTCTGTAATCTGTTGGGACAGTAATAAATCATGCTCGAATGGACTACACATGTTTCATTGATCTTTGCAAACCATCACGGAGGTGGTATAAAAATGTAAGGTGGTGGTGTAACCTTACAAATTATTTTTGTACATGGATATTTAAATAGAGAAGTACTTGTAAATTGAAGTTTTATTTAAAATGTAGATAGTGGCGTTATTATTAAAAAAATATTTCTCATTCAAGAAATGTAATTGTTTTATTTTTTCCTAACGCTTGTGTACGCAACTGTACCATATTATTAATACCTTCCAAGTTACCCTTTTCACCGCCAAGCACTTCTATAGAAGTTTGGGATTTTCGTGCCACCAGCGCCACAACCTCTTTTACTGTGATTAAAAGCTTTATTTCATTTTATTATTTAAGATAGCATTGTCTACTACCCTGTTTTTAATTTCTCTACACAAAATAAGCCCTAGTTTGTCCTAAAATCGGCAAAAACAGAAACTTCGCAACCAACGAAAGAACAAGGCACAACATTTACGTCATCTAGACAACTAATTTTATAGCTAGTAATTATTTAAATATTCCCATTAGAAAGAAAAAGGCCTGGCTGGGGTAACGTTGCCCCAGCAGGAAATGTTTTTGTGAAATAATTAAAAAAGTATAAGCGCAACAAATGTTAAAATGTGTGCAACAATTACAGAAGCCGAACAACTAATTATCTATAAGAGTCAAATTACCATTTTCGACAACATCTGGCCTGGGTAACGCACACCAAATACACACTAATTTTTGGACACATCTCTTTTCTTCTAAAGTCTATGGATTAAAAAACGTTCCACCAGGACAACGTTCGCCCAGCGGAATCAGTTTTTGGTTAATTTCTCTACAATGGCTGCATACACAATTTTTTTTTACCATACACAATCATAGGACGTCATACACTAATTATCAGCATAATTAAAATCTTTAAATTCAACAACATTCCGCTGCGCGAATGCACACGTACCTATATGGTTGCCATTTTGATTATGAACTTGGTACCTAATAAAGTTGTTATTTGTTTACTTACGTCTCGGAATGCAGTTGTGAAGTTGCAGTCAGGAGCCTGTCGAGACGGCTACGTGCTTTAGCTAGTAATAAGTATCGCAGCGGCTCGCGCTCGCTGATAGCTCGTATCTCTGCGCCTGTACTCCGCTTGCTGGGCGGCCGGCAGCGTCTTATCACTAGTTACGCCTCCGTCGCTATGTGCATTTATGTGTTGATCTAATCAGTATAGTGCCGTAAACAGTGTTTAATATAGCAGACAATACACAATAACAATTACCGTGTCGGTTTAACGATAACTACCTACTTTACGGCTTTGATCCAATTTATAAAAAATACAGGCTCAACAATACATCGAACAAAATATTTTCTCCGTTAGAATGTCAAAAGTTTTAAGTCAGCTTAGTCAGCAGTCAGCTGTCCAGCTTATCAATTGACACTGACAAGTGACAGTTAAAAGTGAATAAAATGACAGTACTCGAAACGTGGAATTGAATAATACCAAGTTTGATATGGCATCGAGCATTTCTGTCTTTATTTAAACACAAGAGTTTATTTTTTCTTGTATAGAAGCACTATTTTATATACCTATTTAATACATTATCTGTTACAGGTCGACAAGCGGTCACTGCCATAGGTTCCTTCCGGAGCGGTTCTGCCGGAGGCCTCGACAGTTTGACGCCGCAGCATCTCAAAGATCTGACGAGCTCAAGCGCCGGGGAGCCCGGCGTGACGCTGCTGAAGGAGCTTACGGTTTTGATCAATCTTATGCTCCCCGGCAATGTGCACGAATCCGTCATCGACGTTTTGTACGGGGCCAATCTATGTGCCCTACGCAAGAAAGATGGCGGTATTCGTCCCATTGCCGTGGGAACAACTTATCGTCGCATGGCAGCCAAGATTTGTTGCAAATTTTATAATATCTTCTTTCGGAAAAATTCCAGCCCCTTCAACTCGGGTATAGATCTAGAGGGGGCTGCGAGGCTGCTGTGCATGCGTTGTCGACCTACCTGAATTCCAGGAAAGGTGATATCATCCTGAAGTTTGACACTAACTCGTCATGTACCGTCATTACAGACACAATTATAGAACAATTTTTTTTTTTTTTTAAGGGGGGAAAATCATCGAATGACTGCCCCCGCCTGGGTGAGGCGGGAGGGAGTGTCAGACTCTTACTGACTAAAAACCACCCCGTTCCTTCTCCTGCACGTCGAGCCGGAGCCCCGGTTACCCGTTAGGTTCTCCGCGACACAATTATAGAACAATAGGTTGCGGTCACCGGTGACCGCGCGGTGTTTGACAGTTTAAGATGCTTTTAATTCGGTCACTAAGGATACTCTGTTGACTTGACAGAAGTTAAAATAGAAGTACCCCAAATTTTTAGTTTTCTCTGGCAATGTTATAGACACCCTACAAAATTATTATATCAGGACAACCTTTTGGAATCAGCCGTTGGCTGTCAACAAGGCGATCCCCTTGGGCCAGTGATTTTTAGCCTGGCCATTAATCCTATTATTCGACAGCTAAATTCTAAATTTAATGTGTGGTACCTCGATGACGGTACCCTGGGAGGCGATGCAGATACAGTTTTAAATGATTTCCAATTTTTAAAAAACGAACTTCATGCTATTGGCCTTGACCTAAATTATTCCAAGTGTGAGATATTTTTACATGACTCTACCGACAGACAGATCATATCAAAATTTACTACTTTTGCGCCTAATATCTCGGTTGTCGATAAATGTTCGCTTCGCCTCCTAGGTGCGCCCGTCTTCGAGGACTCCTTTCAAAGTTTTATTGATGAAAAAATTCAAAATTTTTCTGTCGTTTCAGAAAGACTGTATCACATTAGAATGCATTCGGCCTATACTATTATTCGTTTTTGTTGTTTTGGTCCTTATTACTAGCGACCCGCCCCGGCTTCGCACGGGTGTAATATGCATGTATTATACATATAAACCTTCCTTAAGAATCACTCTATCTATTAAAAAAAACCGCATCAAAATCCGTTGCGTAGTTTTAAAGATTTAAGCATACATACGGACATACAGCGAAAGCGACTTTGTTTTATACTATGTATTGATGTATTGATCTGCGCTCGACCCATCTCTGGTCAGCACCCCTTCTTTTGGAAAAAATTGACCGAATCATTAGACAAACTTTATCCTTAATTTTGAATGTGGCTCTCGACGACCAAGCTACTCTGCCTGTCCGCATGGGTGGGCTTGGCGTTCGTAAAATTTCCAGTGTAAGCCTACCAGCTTTCATATCTTCCGCCCATGGTACTGAAGAATTAACCAGGAAAATTCTTTCTCAATCACTGGTTAATTTTGATGTACCATTTTTAGTGGAAGCTGTGAAAGCTTGGAAAATCGCTTGCCCAAATATTGCCCCCCCCGTCAAATCCCTCCCCCAGAGACAATGGGACGAGCCGCTCTGCAGGAAAGTGAGCGAAAATCTGTTGAACTCCGCTTGTTCAACTGCAGAGCGAGCTCGCCTTTTGACTGTGGGTGAGTGGGAGTCGGGGTTATGGCTTCTTGCTTTGCCTTCGTCCAACTAAGGTACTTTGTTGGACGACACCACATTCCGCGCTGCAATTTGTTTAAGACTTGGGGCTTCATTTTGTTCACCTCATCGTTGTCGTTGTGGTGAAGATGTCAACAGCCTTGGACTCCACGGCTTGTCGTGTAGCCGTAGCGCGGGTCGTTTTGCTCAACACGCGAGTATTAATGACATAATTCGTCGAGCTCTTGTCTCCGTTGGTGTGCCAGCTACTTTAGAACTTAATGGCTTGGTACGCAATTTGGAAGATGGGTAGGCCTTTAGTATGGGACGCCACTTGCGTTAATACTCTGGCGCCATCCCATCTTCCAAACTCAGCGAGCGAGCTCTCTGCTGCCGAGAACCTCAATCGGCGAAAGTATGATAGCCTGATTGGCAATTATGCTTTCGAACCGTTTGGGGTTGAAACTTTAGGGCCGTGGGGCCCAAGTGCACATCGTCTTTACAAAGATATTGTAAGGAGGATGGTTGACACTTCAGGTGATCGAAGGGCTGGCTTCTACCTTGGACAAAGGTTAAGCATTGCCATTCAACGTGGTAATGCTGCCAGTCTCTTAGGCACCCTACCTCACGATAATGATGAGGAAAATGTTTTTTTAATGCCTTGCTGCTTTTTTTTAATGTCTATTTATTATTTTTTTTTAAGGTGTATATATTTTAGTTCATAGTTATTTATATTATAAGTTGTATATATTTTCATTTAGTAATGGTTAATATTATTTGTATATATTATAAATTAGAAAAAGGTTCGATATTGATAAAATAAAAAAAATATAAAAATATTTTTTATTGACAAAAAGCTTCACATTACATATTTATATGGCTCTGGACCCCACACTAGGATTCCCTGTGTCGTGAGGCCCAGTCTCTTTCAGTCAGCAAAACATAATACAAATGAGAGACAAAATAAAAAGAGAATTAAAAAAAAAAAAAAGAAATTAAATGAAAACGATAAATTTACAGTATTCTTTATATAATACTAATTATGGAAGTGTATGAATGTATGTGTGATTTTTAGGTTTGTGTATGTATGCGTGTGCGTGTGTGTGTGTGTGTGTGTGTGTGTGTGTGTGTGAGTGTGTGCGTGTGCGTGTGTGTGTGTGTGTGTGTATGTGTATGTGTGTGTGTATGTGTGTTTGTGTGTGTGTGTGTGTGTGTGTGTATGTATGTATGTGTGTGTGGTGTGTGTGTATGCGCGCGTGTTTGTAGTTGAGATATGTCGGATGAGATGTAATACCAGTGATAACTGTTCTACTGTGGGATATTGAGTATAGCCTCAGTACTAGAATAGCTAAGATTCAATAACCAAGTTGTGATTTTTTTCTTGCAGGTTTTCCGTAGTAGTGTAGCGATTTTTAGTTTAGATTGTATTTTTCTATATATGAAAGGTCCCATGAAGAGAAAGGACCTTCTACCAAACGATTTGTTGCATTTAACTGTTTGCCACTTAAGCAGTCGTTGAGATCGCGTCATAACTGCCTTACTAAGGCTATTTTTATGGAAACGTAATGCGACAGATAGAATATACAACTGCCTTACCCGGAGTATTTGAGTCTCTTGATACAAGAGATCAGTGCCATATCTGTATGGAAGACCGTGTGCGCACTTCAGTAACGCACGTTGTGCTCTTTCGGCCTTTAGTAGATACACCTTTGCAGCCGCACCCCATGATATAATGCAGTATCCAAGTATAGATTGACAGAGTGCATAGTATATAGTTTTAATAATCTTATCTGGAGCTACTTTAGTCAACCTCTTGAACACGTACAAAAGTTTCCTAACCTTTGAAGTCAACGCATCTATATGCATGGACCATGACAAGCGCTCGTCCAAATAGACACCCAAGTATTTTATATACTGGGTGTTCTCAACTACTGGACATGCACAATTGACGCGGTCCTGGCACGAGTGAAGCCTGATGGTAACTAAATCTCCAGGAGCCGTTCTCGCTGAGACGCTAAAACAGATAGCTTTGGTTTTTGCAACGTTTAAAGTAAGGAGGTTGTCATTTAACCAATTGGCGACGACCTGCAAACCCCTCTCAGTCCTGTTTATGACTTCCGACCAGGAATCGCCATGGAAGACGACTGCAGTATCATCTGCGTAGGTGAAAATTTTTGCCGCAGGAATCGCACGTGAGCACAGGTCATTGATGTAGATAATAAAAAGTGTGGGGCCCAAAACGCTACCCTGCGGCACACCATAGCATACTTCCAGAACGTCACTGCTGCAATCTCCCACAACCACTCTCTGCTGTCTTTCACTGAGATATGATCGAAACCAATCGAGTGGTCCACCCCGTATTCCAAGAGCCGAAAGTTTTACAAGCAATATTTTCCGAGAAACGGTATCAAAGGCTTTAGCAAGGTCGAGAAATAGGCCGATGCATGCTTTCCCTATATCCAACTTTTGTGTGATATAGTCTACAGCATTTGTAACAGCGTCCTCAGTAGATTTGCCAGGTCTGAAACCGTACTGGTTTTCTGACAACAGTTCATGCTTCTCCAAAAATGCCAGAAGTCGCTTGTTGACCACTTTCTCCAAAATCTTAGAGAGAGTAGTCAGCAACGAAATCGGTCTATAGTTGGCTGGATCTAGCTTATCGCCACTCTTGTATATAGGACAAACATTAGCCGCTTTCATATTGTCTGGAACCCTACTCGTCGACAAACTTAGATTACATAAAAATGAGATAGGTTTTAACAGTGATTTCATACATCTTTTGTAGAACATGTTACTTAAGCCATCTATACCCGAAGAGGATGTTGTTTTTAAGTTTTTAATAATATTGCATATTTCTGCTTCGTCTGTAGGTACGAAGAAAAAAGACTGACAGACATTAGGCAAATTATTTGTCTT